AGGCGGCAGAGGTGCAAAGGAAGGGGAAGAACATGTTCAAACCTCGGCCGCTCCACTGCCGCTGCCGTTTCGGGCTTCCGGCGGGCACACCTGGTGTTGAATGACTTCCAGTTGGGGTGAATTGTTAGCCCCGAGCCAAAGAAATGGCACCCAGTTAACGCCTTACGCTTCACGGCCTGGCGAGGAAGTTAGGCCTGGCCCCTCCCATTCTTCGCCACCCACCCCTCTTTCCCCCACCCTCCGTCCATGGCCCCCCCACGGTAGAGGAAGCCCCCGAGAGGGGGCGCCAATGCCCCAGCAGCTCCGTTCAAAGAGCTTTGGATGCCCAGCATCGTTCCCATCAAATCCTGGCCGTTTGAGCAGCTCCGTTCGGATTCGGTGCTCGGGAGGAGAACAGGAAGAAGATGTGACGTTTACAGCCAGCGCGCAGCGCTTCTGGGGGTTCGGAAACAGTGCAGCGGTTGGGTTGAAACACCAAGAGTTGCTGTAACCACCTGGCGAGAATGCCAAATCGAAGAGCTAGGGAGCCCAAAGAAGCGGAGATCACAGGGGCGAAGATCTAGATGTGCCCAAACCACGAGGTTGCCTTGCCATGTATTGGTGTGCCTCAAAGGCTTCTTCGCCTCGCTCCTTCAAAGCAGTGTGGATGCAAAGACTTCCAAGGCCACTCACGTTGAGAATCCCTCATTGACGCGGGTCAAAAGGTGTGCTCACTTGCGCTGCTCTTTCAAGGCACGCTAGAACCAAGGTCAGACCACTCCAATTCGCTCCTCAAACACCCGGCCAGTCAGTTCGTCCGAGGAACCAACGAATCGCTGGGCTGTGGCGATGGCTTCGGCACCACCAAATGGTTGCTACCTAGCGGACAGGTCCTAGGTCCTAGGCATCGAAGAAGTCCTCCTCCCCACCACCATCACCACCCTCCATCCAAACCAAGAACACCCCGTCGAGGCCCGGTACGCGGTACCAGACGCGGTGGGCGTCTCGTAAGGCCCCTCCTCTGGACAGTGGTCCCGGACCAGATGCATGAAGCCCATGCCAATCATCGTACCAGACAGCCCGACCTGGGAAGCCACCAGAGCCATCGGAGAGCGTGGTTGTTCGAAGCATGAAACCCTGAAGACAACGAGTCTTGTGTGTTTTTGTTCCAACAGAGAGGAGTCTCCTCACTTCACGAAAATCGGAGTTTCGTTCGTTTGGCACTCGAAAGCGACCACCCCAGCATCCCGCATTGAGGATGTTGGCGTCGTCGCGTCGTGCGCTGTCTTGATCTCCATTCGCACCAAGAAGACCGGCCGTCAACGACGCCCGCTGGGCCACCCGACCATGCTGACGCCAAAGGCGTAGGGGACCCAGGAGGCCACCGGCCCAAGCACCTGACAGCGCCGAACGCGAAGCGCCAGATCTCCTCAGTTGAATCCATCGAAGAGCGAAAAGGAGAGGTCACAAAGCTGAATAAAAGAGGGAGAATGGACAATGGATGGTAGGGGGGCGACGGACTTCTTCGCCTCCACACAAGGCCGATCTCTTCGGTAGTTCCTAATGAACACACAAAGAGTGCGTGAAAGGATGCAGCATTCATCCCAAAAACAATTCTTGCCGATGTGAGTTATGACCCACACCCAGCAGTTTTATGTTCTATAAACCCATAACTTCGCATGGAGGTCCTTCCATTGTGCGTCTTTGGAGGAGCTCACCTTTAGAACTCACAAAAGCCATCAAACACAAGATGACCAGGACATCTGCATGACTCATAGGGAGGAAAAGCCACAAGTAAGCCAGGCTGGAGCACCAATAGGAGAGTGCAAAGTGCACCACTCAAGCTGCCAGCCTGGGCATTTTCAAACACGAAAAGCAAGACTCGAGTGAGTGGCATCCCACAATGGAATCGATTGTTTTGCATGGATTAGGCTGATAGGCATGAAACCAACTGGTGAACAACGGCTCACTCGAAGGCTGTCGTCCAGTGGTGCTAGATTTCGGGTCTGCTATCTACCCTGCAGAAACGAGTTACTCCCTTCCAGAAAGGAGATACTCCCATGCAGGGCGCATGGGCGTGGACCCTCGAGTCGCACTGAGACCCCTGCGATGCATAAGGTCAAAGGTTCAAAGGTGGTCCTGGAGTCAGTGGTCATCTGCTGCGAGAAACCGGAGGTTCCGAGGTCCGAGGTGGAATGTCCGGCGTCCCGAATTGTACAGCACCAGACCACTACTCGACATGTAAAAATGACACTTATGCAAAGGGATTCTCAGGCTCACCCCTCCCAAAAAGACCGGGACCAGCTACCTGGGCTCTGACACCACCCCCACCAATCCTCGACAGTTTACCAAATCCCCAGGACCGGTACCCAGGCATCGAGTGGGTTTCCACCCACACATTGCGGCCAAGTCTCAGCAACACCGGTACCCAGGCCTCTGGCCGTTTCGGACAAAACGACCGCTGAAACGGCTCGTCTCAGTGTCGCTCGTTTCGACCGGTCACGTGCCGGGGGTCTGACGGGCGCCTGCGGACGGCGGAGGTCTGACGGGCCTCCACCGAGGGGGGAACATCGAGCTCGCTCGTGTGGAGACTGGAATCATTGGGAGACGAAGTCTCCATGTTTTACCCAACATGTACCCTTCAACTCCCCACCAGATCTCATATTCACACCTGTGGGTCCCTGGGTCAGCTAGAAGTCAAACCACCATCTTCTTCGCTTCGGACGACGAGGATCTGAAGATCCAGGGACGACCTGCACCAGATCCCGTGCCTCATGTGTTCCAGGCGTCTTCACGGGACCGTCGACTTCTGGGCTGGACCGTCGACTTCATCCAAGCTCTAAGTCCTCCCGCCCACCACGAGCGCAAAAAAAGGCGGGTCAGTTCCGCCCACCACGAAGTTGCCAGGTTTTTGGGCACCGCACCCGGAATTCCTTCGGACGCCCGGCCGATCGGGACCGCGGTTCGGGCCGTCGCAGCGGACGTCGCCGAGGGGCGGAACACACCAGGGTGGAGACGTTCGTCAGCCTGGGATCCATGCGGTGCACGCCACCGATATGTCGGAGCGGGTTCCGCCGGGGGTCCGGTTCAGTCCGTGCTTTCCACAAAAGAAGACTCCATAGAGGACGACGGAGGACAACGGACAACAGGCCCGGAAATGCCCTACACACAGGACCCCAACAGTAAAAGTGTTCAAGAAAAAAGTAGATACATGCACCCCATCAGCTCTTAAGGACATCCGAGCAACAAATAGAAAATGCACGCTTGGTCTTTGCCAAAGCCATATCTCTCCTTGAAGAATACCATCTCGGGCCCATCACCAATTGCAAAGCCAAGGGCATAGACAAAGGAGACCGCCAGCAAGGCACACGCTGAATGGTTCGAAAACATCATGTACACACTTTGAGAGAAGCTCTTCTCCGTTTCCGAATTTCCATTCGTCTCACTTAAGCCAGCAGCCGCCGTGTCCATGTCTGCCAGAGTCTTGGTCTTTTCTTTGACATCTTCCCAAAGCAACAACCCAATGATTAAGTTGATCACATTGATCACCACCACCCCGCCACAGAGAGAATTGAAGGGTAGACGATCAAAGCTTCGTGCCACCAGAGGCCCTGCCAATGCGCCAGCGCTCGTCATGACACGTTGAAGCGCCAAAACGCGGCTCAGCTCTTCTTCCGTATTCAAGAAATCCATGATGTAGGCCATTTCCACTGGCCCGGTGCTTAAAGCAACTCCCACCGCCATGCGTGTGATCATGAGAGACATCAATGTATGGGCTCGAGTCATGAAGAGATTGCAAATCATTTGTGTGAAAATTCCCAAGAGCATCACTCGCTTCCGCCCAAAGCGGTCTGAAAGCGCTCCCATCAAAGGTGAGCAAAACATCTGCGCCAGATTATAGGCGGAGTTCATCAACGACACCTCCAGTGCCGAGGCACCCAACTTCATCGCGAAGAACGGGAGTGTGGGCAAGACCACCATGGTGGCCAGAGCATTCAAGGTCTGAGTGAAAAGGATTCCGTAGATCCCCATCTGTGACCGCCTCTGAGCGGGATCTGTCCGACCCTGGAAGAAGCTGCTGGACCTCACACATTGGCGGAGGCCGTAACAAAGGAGTAGAAGAATCATGAAAGCGGTGAGGATCAGGAGGGGTGCCGAGCGCCTCAACGGCGGGCTGGACACCAAGCCATCGGAGAGCTTCTGCAGGATCTCAGAGGCTGCGGAGGCCATCGGTGCGCTGGCCACAGCCACCATGGACATCTGTGCCGCGTCCTCATTCCGGGATTTCAAGGTCAAGCTCGACTGGAGCAGAACCACTGGATGAAGTTCAGACTCACAGTCCTCAGCCTCACACATGGCATCAGACACAGCACTGATCATCTCCATGGCTTGAAAGGAGTCTGTGACATGAACGATCTACTTGGCATTGGGATGGTTTCCTGAGCCAAGTAAGATTGCTGCAGCACAAGGACTCAAAAAAGAGTATCCTTCATGGAGGCCTTCCAACCATCCACGCATTCCATCCCAACCAGTGAGGCTGGCCAAGTCGTAGCCTGTAGCTCGAATCAACTACTCCCGCAGTGCCTTCATTCATTCATTCATTCATTCATTCTTTCTCATGCTCATTCTCAATTCTCATTTCATGTCATTTCATTTCATTCCATTCCATTCATGCATTCATTCATGCATTCATTCATTCATTCAAACATTCAAACATTCATTAATGATTCCTTCAATTTTTGCGTGCGTCCCATGTGCTCGCATTCGCATTCGTTTGCCTGTCTTTTCTGCTCACATCTCGAGGCAAAACGAATTCGTTTGTTGCACGAATTGGAGGTTGTTCAGCAGTTGTTCGTGGCACTTCCCGTCCAGTCGTTCGCGACCTCACTGAACAACCCATCCTGCCTTCCTTCAGGCTGATTCTTTCCTAAGCGCCTGCAGTGTCTCACCCCTACAAATGCCCGAAGGCGGGTTAACGCCCGAAGGCGAAGGCGATTTCGATGAGTTTTCCTCATGAAATTCGTGGCGCCACACTGCATCTGAAAAGAAAAAAACTTTCCACCAGTCGATCGACTGAATTTCGTGCACCTGCCCTTCTCATGTTCTTTGCATCTGCAGCTCGCCCGCGCGTTGTGGAAGGGACTTGGTAGAATGAACCTCAGAGCGACTTGGACTTGAGCCGCAGACATAGGACCCATGTCTTCTGCGGGGTGGAAGGACCGGGAGCGCCCAGTTGGACGGGCATCGCCCTCCAAAACTCCCGCACCCCGCCCCGGTCTCGCTGACGAGGCTGTTTATCCATGTGGGGTGTTAGGGGCCCCGACATCGGGGTCAGATCCAAAGACACATGGAAGTCCAGGTAGTCTGGAGCCCAGCAGATTCACCAAAATCGCCTGCCGCGCACCAAGTGCGCGCCAGGACACCGCGACGGAGCTCGCCGCACGCGACGACGACGACTTCCCGGAGTTCCGGCGTCTGACACCGGTGGCGGAGGTTCCCGCGGGGAAGACCTTCGCTCGGCCGGGAAGACCTCGCCCTCCGAGCTCGCGATGCTTTCGAAGATCGGAGAGCAGGAAGACCCGAGAACAGCTCTGTGGCGAGGATCGATGCAAACCATGATCGGCCCTACCGGCCAACATGCTGAGGGCCGTGGTTGCGGAGTTGATGCATATTAGCAATAACTATGTAATTCCTCCAAAGGAAGTAGACATCTTAATGAAAGGGATCCTCAAGGCTTGCCCAGCTGTCTACACCAATTTGGGCTCCAAAAACGTTTTGACAGCTGCAGACGCCCTTACGCCCTTACTCCCCACAGCGAGTGACCGTGGACGCCGGAGAGTAAGGCCTTGGTGTACCGGAGCCGCTTCGCCAGCTCAGCACTTGGCACATCAAACGAACTGGTGAGCGGATAGGACTGGACCTGGCCCAGTAGAGAGCAGTCGACTGGCCGATCTGAAGCTGAAGCTGCTTTTGCATTGAAAAGCTTTCGTTTTGACCTGCTTGCAACACGCTTCAATACTTCACCTGGAGTACTAGAGTACTGTCCTTTACTTCATCCAGAAGCCTGGTCTTTCCCAGAAAAAAAACGCTCTCCAGCACTCAGTGGGCACCGGTTTGTGGTGTTTAGCTCTGGTCAGTGGGTCCACCGCGTCCACCGTTCGCAGCCTGCCCCTTCTTGTCCACGTAGGTCACGGTGTGCAACTTGGAAGAGAGCACAGCTTCGGTCTTGTCGAAAAAAATCACCTCGACCGCTGGGACGGGGATGAGAAAAACAAGCGCTTCAGCTGCAAGAAGCAAGGCCCTCTATTCTTCGTCTGATGGGTAAGTGTGAAGTGTGCCGTTAAACAACAATTTGCAGCAGACCTGCAGAAGCCTTACTTATAATTTGACATTTGCCTCAGGAAGCATCCAATCTCCGGCACAATGACTTGTCTCAGAACATGACCCTTCCAAACTTCCCCAATCAATGGCAGTTCTACTGGAGGCCTTGGCTAGTAGGTTGGAGGACATCGCTATTTTCACCAGACTCTCCGAACTGAACGAACCCCACAAATGGCTGTCTGCTATAGGCCTTCCTTCGTTTCGGTTCAGTCGGCCGCCTGAACAATCTTATTGCTGAGCTGGAACATGATGGCGTGCTTGTTCCGGGTCCACTTTTTGACCTCAGGCAGCATGCAGCCCAGCTTGACCCACCTCATAAGAGAGTTCTCTAGCCGAAGTTCTTTGCCCCTCTTTTGGGACATAACCCCCCTCGCCCTACCCTGCAAGCCTATGACCACTTAAAGACCAACCAGATTTTGAAGGAAAAAGATTGTGCGATCCGAGATCCCTGGATCTAAGAATTCCCCCTCCACCCCGCAGCGATCTCCAACTTGTAGATCAGGAATGAAGCTTGGACACTTCATCCCAATCGCACTCTTGGCATGCACGCTCCTCTGACAACAACAATCTCCCCCTCTCACTCGAATCGGATATCCGCATCTTCGAAGAGAAGTCCCGCATCGACATCGAAACAACACTTTCCGCAGCTGTTGAGGCTTCAGCAAAAGGGACCTCTGCGGCTCTGTCACAAGCCTGGCACCAGCAGTCAGTTGAGTTTGCCTCTCGAGAGGAAAACTATTTTTATCCAAGACAGCGAAGTTTACAAGACTTCCGACATTTCTCACCTTCACAAGTGCCTGGCCCGTGACACATAGAGTAATTAAATAGATAGACAATGCCCAGGTCATGATACAGTCCAACTCATGAAGCTAACCGGTCTTCAGGTCTCTTACATGAACCGAGACCTAACCCGCCGCGTCCGCGCGCCCCTCCCCGTCTTCTCCGGATCTGGGGATCTCGGGATCCCCGGATCCCGCTCCGCTCCGCTCCGCGGATCGCCTTCGGAGTTCCAGCGGACTTCAGACTGGATGTCCCGGCCGAAGCTCCATCCTCACTGAGCGGCAACGGATGCACAGGCTTCCTTTGGGGGGCGGGGGATGGATGGTCATTTCACAACGCGCAATGGCAACGGATGCCAAAGAAACCCCGTGGTTCGAATCAACCAGTTCTTTAATGATCTATACCAAAGAGCCATTGCTTTACTAAGGGTTTTTACACTACACCACCAGCTCAACCATTCTTTTCATGGTCTTTGAAGGCTGGGACAAAGACATGTTCGTTATAACATGTTCACCGTGCAAATCCAAAGCCTCTTTAGGGGCTGTGATCATTCTTGTGGGGGACTTCTCCAGATCCCATAGTCGTATTCCTTGGACCACTTGTAACCATTTCTTGGGGAAGCCTTCACATGCTGACAGCATTCCCCAAACAAAAGCTGACACCCTGGCGGACGCCCACCGTCTGTCCTTGCGCTCCAAAGCATCCGCCGTCATGTAGCTCTTGAAGTTTCGAAGTAGAATGACTTTCTTTTTCAACTCCTGCATCAAGCAACCTCACCCTGCTGCTCACATCCCGAATTCTAGCAAAAACGTCCGCTCTTCCGGTCTGAAGGCGTCTTCCGCACCCCCACTGGGGACCTGAGATCGCACGTGATTCCTCTCCTCTGGGTACTTCTCCCAGGAATACGTGTTGCGCTCTTCCGGCTTCTCTTGGGTGCGGCGCCTGAGAAGGAAGGGCCGCCCCATCGGGGCCTCTGAGAAGGGCCCCTTGCCGGCGCGTCCCGCGCGGCGCGCGCCGCGTCACCGAAACTTGGGTTTCTGGCACCGAAGGAGCTCACTGTTGGGCCTCCCGACGTGATGTAATCGAAGACGTCCCCGCTCGCGGCCTGGGTCGAAAATACTGGGCGTCGCTCTTCGCCGGACCCGGATCCAAATGTTGAAAGGCTTCGTTCTAAAAGGACTGCAGAAGGACTGCAAGTGGTTCAACAGTGTCAGAGGAGATGGGATCTCCCGCCGCCTCCGTTGTCGGCTCCCTCCAAAGCTAGTGGATCATGTGTTCTTCACTGTACAGGTTTGTGCCTCATGACCATCCAATCTTCGTTTTGGTGTCCATCATCCAAGTTACGCGATCAAGAAATTGGCAGGCTGACAAACCATCGAGGTGGCTGACATCCGCATTCTTCCGGTGGAAAAACGGCCCTGTCAACGCAGAGTTACCAAGCGATCTCTTTTACGAAGCTTCTACTTCCACCTGCCGCGGCCGCGCGAAGAAAGGGCCGTGGCGCTAAACTGGAAGATGATGTGGCGCATATCAAGCTTCAAGAGGAAGACCAGACCCCAAAGGGAAAGTTCCCCAAACCGACGCGAGCCGGCTCGCCGTGCATTGAGGGAGACACTCCCGACAAAACACTCACATGGACCCGGAGAACGGCACCCTCAGTCCAACTGCTCATTCCTCTATAGCTGCACCAGTGGTTGTCAGGGTCCGACTGTTCATTTTCAGTGGGGTCATGTTTGCAAACACTGAGCCGGCGGCGAGAATGATCTTCGTGGAGTCATTGAAGTAGACACCCACCGAGCCATCCGAGAGGATATAGCCCACGCCATACCTGGGATGTAGCAATTCATCCTGCGTAGGGAATGATGGGAGGGACCCCATCCAGGAGACCTTGGGAAATCCATTCCCTTATTTCCTCATTTTCTGCGTAACATATCCCTGAGAGTCTAAGTTTGACTCCTATTTTTGGTTCCTCTGACGCATCCGTGGATGACGCCTCTTTTTTTCTCCGTGTCGCTGGGGTTTTGAGTGAACAAAACACAGTGGCCCAAAACTGCCCACCGCCGGATGGTCACTTGCTGGCATAGTCCACCCACTTGGTGACCTCGCTGCCGACGCGAGAGCGCGAGCTGGCCACGGACGGTCTGGAACCGTCGTCACGGTCCGTCATGGGCGATGGGACGGTCGATGAGATGAAGGGAGCAAAAGGCAGCCCAAAAGTAGGTTCAAAGGAGTCAATATCATTGACTTCGTCACACAGTCTAGGAGTCTAGAAACGTCTTGTCCTTTATTCAAGGGGCAGCCTTGGGGCATGATCTTGATGAAATGCCACCATTCGGCCTCTGTTTGGCTGGGCTTTTGTTCTGTGAATGTTTCTGTGGTTTGGCCTGGGTTTGGGAATTTTGCTGTCAGCTGACTGCTCCAGTGTCCAGCGTTGCACTTTTGCCACCTATCGTCGGTAACGAAATAGATCCCATGAATGTGTTCATGTTTATCCAAAAGCCGCACCTATCATACAAGTTTCTCCTTTCTAAAAGTCCGCTCCTCTATGATGGCCTCATCTTTTGTGAAACAAGTTCTCCTTCAACTACGAGTCCTTTTTTTAAGCGGTAGGGATGCTTCAAAAAAAATCCCTGTCAGCCTCGACGCGGACGCCGATATCCAGTGGTGGAAGCAACGGTTTAGGAAAATGCCAAACGAGAATATAAAAGAAATTGGATCGGAATTGCTAAAGCTGAAAGCACATTTTGTGTACTAATGGGCAGTTGATAGTATGGGTAGTAGCCACCAGAAGGCGGATGCCGCAGAAGTGCACTGGACAGGAGCTGCCAGCTTTTTCGGTGATTGGCAACGGTACGGAGGGGGCGATAGAGGTGCATATTATCTCTCCAGTGGACGTGCGTGAGTGTCCATGAAGTTCGCCGATTTCAGTGGCCGTGGGCGGTTGAAAAAAAAGGGGTGGTTGACTTGGGGGAATGGGAAAGGTGGAGGTGTCGGCGACAAGCTGAGAGGGTGAGTTCGGTCCAATGAGGACGAGGTCGGCCTCGGCGGAAAGTGTCTCCATGAAGGAAGCTAGGTCGTCTTTAGGCTGTATTCGGCCGGCGTAGGTATTCTGCCCTAAGAGGTTGAGGCGTCGTGAAGCAAGCTGGGAGGGGGCAGCTAGTAGCGCCTCAGAGTTGGCGAGGTTGGATCTTGCAGCACGGGGGTCTTGCCCACAAGAACTTCCAAAAGCACTTGCTCGCTTAGTCATCTGGCAAGAGAGCACAATCGCTACCATTCTGTGTACAACTCTCCTCCTGTCTATGAATATTCTTGCATGAATGTGTAAAAGCATCAGCAAGTACGTGTCAAGTGTCGTCATTCTAGCATGGTTCTTCCCAGATCTTCTTTCTCTTCAACATTTCTTCTCATGTCAAAGGTATCCTCCTTGAAAAGGAGTCTTGTTCTACAATCAAAGGTTCGTCCTTTGTGAGGATTACTAACGACTCTACAAGGGTCCTTGTTTGAGAAATCTGTAGTCTGATGATAGAAAGCTGCAGCCTTGCAGCCTGTAAAAGCGGAGTAGGTCAAACATGGTTTTGTTCTACTGTCCTTTAAGAAATATAATATATATATATATTCTTTTTTATTTATGTAATTATATATATATGCATATATATATATATAGTCAAACAAAACGCACCTAGGTTGAAACAACATTGAACCCTTTAAAATGTGTCAAGGCAAAAATCACTAAGCAAGAAATATGACAGAGAAAGAGTTAAAGTGAAGAAATGGAACCGCTGTTTAACTAGGAGAGTGACCAATTGAAGGATGTTATCTTGGCGGGATATAGCAATCCTTTTGCATCTGGTATACTTCCCTTTTTGTCTTGAGCAATACCTATGTCAATAATCTTTAAGCATAACAACGACTTAGTATACACAGAGCTCGGACGCAACAAATGGGTACCCAAATAGAAAAGCTACCTGGATGAGAGGAAAGCCTCTTGAGAGCAGGAATCAAACAAGAAATCGTGCCGACCCGACCCTCAATCACGCAATAAAAACCAAGACACCAACTTTTACAAAAAACAAAAGCACCGTTTACATCATGTCGCTATTCACCGTTTGAAACACCGATCTTGGAGAGTCCTGCTCTAACTGGAGCGACATACTGCAGGAACAAGGGTGGCTCACCCCTCCGATACCAGTCCAGCTCCAGCCACCCTCGTTTCCTTACTTACTTTCGTCGCACCAGTGCGGCCGAGACACCCAGATCTCTGGCATCGAGCTGCATGCCTCGATGCGTCGTCGGAGTGCAGGGAGGAGACGGCTTCCAATCCGCGCGGGGCGGCATCGAGGGCCCAGACGAAGTGGGCTGAGCCCAAACGAGTAGGTTGTCTATTTGTATTTTAGTGGTTTTCAGGAGGGCTCTTTTATGACGTAGACACGTCGAAGCAAAGTCTGAGTTCTCACCCCACCTCGGTACCTCAAGGGGTTCGTATGATGGGCTTCGTTTGGTGTTCCACCATCCTTGCGACGAAACATGTCGACCAGCCTTGATGAGACTCGACGACCAGCTGTGGGGCTCCCGTCGGCACCCAATACGGGCGACCCGACGGGCGACGAGCAACCGAAAATGAACGGAATAGACGCCCCCCCCATGTCCATGGTCAACCGCCCCCGGTTAGGTGAGTTCCGTGCCTACCAGGGTTTGGACTCACGGCCATTGTGTTTCTCCAAAGGCGGATTATGGGACACTTCTTCTTGGAAGAAGAGCCCTGTGCCTGGTGAGGCACAGGAATACTCCAGATTCTGACCTCCAATTGGTCCTGTCCCTACCGGAAGAGTCGGTCCCGCCTGATCTGCCCTTGCCCGGTAGGACGCCGCGGAAGCACGCGACGGTGTCGGGGACGTCGTCGCCCGTGGCGCGGTCGGGGTCACCACGCCGTGGGGCACATCTGGAACCTCCCAGACAGTGTTCAGAAGATGGACGGACGGAAGAGTTGTTGGCCTATTCTACATTCTACATATACAATAATTGATTAGCGCTATATATAGCACTAATATGTACCAATACTACTAAGATTATTTGCAAAGGGACTTTTGGCCAAACTGGCTAATTTGACAAGTTTGCACATCGTTCGCTGCCAACCAGTTTGTTTAAGACTCATTTTAGACCTTAAACTAAATGAGTCAAGTAAAATGGGGTTTTCGTGGTCGAGCACGCTCATTGTAGATGGCCGGGTTCTCCAGAAGGGAAAACATATTCTTTTTACGCCGCCGGACTTGGAGAGCAGGTTTCTCATATATTAATATATGTTCGGATCTGGACAACTCTCTGGGGCCGCCTTGATTGTCAAAGGAGCTCTTGATTGTCGCACGGTCGCGCGGAGAAACGATGAATGCTTGGAGAAAAAAGTACCGTATCAGTCAACAACCAAAATCAAACTATATAATTCAAATCGGAATGTGTAAATTGCGCCCCAAATCAGGCTGGACTACCCGAACAAAACATCCTTCCAGGGCAGAAGTCAGTCTGAGACCTCAAGTGATCTCTACATGTGCTGAAGGTGGTAGTTTTGCTGAGTTCTCTTGGAATGATGGCATGTTTGGGAGCTTCGAAAGAGAATTGAAGCCTCCCCTCTTCCTTTTTCAGCGGGTACCTCCCGTACATCGTCTTTTCTTTTGATAAAAACACTGGCCCCCCACCTTCCGTGCGCTTCTAAAAGCATCAAAGAAGACCTGAGGTTGGCATGCTGAAAACTGCCAATGCGCAAAAGACATGCAACGCTGGAAGAAATCAGCTCCAATTCACCATAAGACTCAAGATTGCAACGAAAGTGTGCCAGGCAACATCTGCGTTGCGTGGAGTAGCACAAGCTGTGGCCACCTGAAACCCACAACGAACATCCAACGGACTTCGACTTGTTTGAAGGGAGTGAACATGAGAGTGAACATGGGTGTGCATTGGAACAGGGCGTTTCCTCCGCTTCCTTTGGCGTTCGTTGAGATTCTTCCTACTTCAATCCACACCGGTGGCCTCCTCTGCCGCACCCGCCCTCTGGCCTCCACTGCTGCTGGGGACAGGCTCCGACCTCGCTCCTGGGGCATTCGCTGGCTTTCACCCCGCTGGCGTTCGCCGAGCCAAAACCGTTTCCCAAGCCGGGAGCCCCGGGCCGTGGCGGCCCGCCGCCGCGGCGACTGCTGCCTCCCCGAGAGCGGAAGAAGCGGAGAGTGCGGAAGAAGCGGAGAGCGCCTGGCGGTGGAGTTTCCAAACTCTTCCACACCTGCGCCGGCGCATGGACCGGTGAGTCCGGTCGTCCTGTGCTGGTCCAACATGGTCCAAGATGGTAGCTTGTTCGGTATTCTGCGATTGCACCAGGCTGAAGCACAGGAGAAACCTTTCAAAAACTCGCGCTGGGTGTTTGGTTGGTTTCGTTTGTTTTGATTTGCTTTTCGAATTTGGTATGTGTTTGTGTGTGTGTGTGTCCAATGGACTGAGGAAGCTTGCGACACTTGAAAGGAGCACCCAGAGGACAAGACAGGAGACTTTGCATGAGCTGAGTTTGAAGTGTCTTGATTGAGTGTGAAGGAGCATTAGCTTGCCCAATCAAGAAGTCGTATACATGTTCTTTTTTGTTGTTCAGTCATTGCAAGGAATGAGCCCCCTTTCGTGACATTTAGTGTAGCTGCAGGATCTCCACGACTGCAGCAGTTCTGCGACCTGTGACGGCTTCTCGGGGTGAAAGAAAACGAAGCCCATGGCGTTACAGGACAAATAAGGACTCGTTACAAAGCCCAGATGTTGCGCGTCACAGGCTCAAGGCGAGAAAAGGGAAGCACGAGCCATCAAAGATGTCGGACCTCTAGGTGGATCGGATGTTCCACAAAATGGCTTCAAGTTGGCTGTGGAACAAAATAACACAACAGGAGCTGCTGTGATGTTCCTGTGCATTCAGATCGCACATCCGTCGAGACGGGAGGTCACTGTGACCTTCGACAACGGGGACACAGGTGTTCGACGCAGGATCACTGAACTGGCTCTTTGCCAAAGGTGTCCAGGGTTCCACGTGGTTTTTGTTGATGCTGTTCGCACCGGGTTCGGAGGCTACAAACGACAAACGTTTCACCCAAAGCTACATTACAATCAGCTCCAAATGAAACCAAGCCACATTGATGCCGGCTAACTCATGAAACCTCCTGCCTGTGATCTTGACGTATGATTGGAGCTTTTTTTCAGCACTCTTTGTACTGTTGGATCTTTGTTGGATCTTCAGATCCTATGCTCCGCCTCCCTTATGCCTCACTTTTCACGGCCCATCGGTGCCTGGTGCGCCCAAAGTACCCCCAGTGCTGGTGCTGTCGAGGATCCTCACGCACCGCAGCGGCGCCGGCGAGATCCGTGTGTTGCGGCGCGAGATCCATGCCTTGCGCTGTCTCCAAGCCTGGCGCTGTCGTTTGCACAGCAACCGTGTTTTTCTTCTTTCTTCAGCAACCGTTTTCTTTCGGAAATTCGAAAAAAAAAATCGTGTTTTCTTCTTTCTTCGCCAACGGAAAACCTTTCGAATTTTTCTGTTGGGACCCCCGGTTTTCTGCCGGAAGTCGCCTCGCAGAGCCGAGTGTACGATTTGGCGCTGCATGAGCTGCGCAGGTATAAGGCCTCAGGCATCATGGGCTGCATGAGCTAAGCGTTCGAAGGCTTTCGAAGCTTTCGAAGCTTTCGAACCAAGCGGTTTCTGCACCACGAGTCACTGGCATGTAGACTCCGTTGTTGAAGCAGTTCTCCTTGAAATCAGGAGGGTCGTAGTTCGGGACCACATTCTCCTGAACGGGTTGTAAAACACAAGGACCCTTGGACGCGCCCTGGCCTGGAACACAGGAGACAATGTCTTGGCCATCAAAAGAGATTTAAAAATGCCTAGAACTCTTCTTCGGTACCTTGTTGCCACGTTGTGCAACGGGAGGTCGACCTGTCAGCACGAGGCTTCCACCAGTTCGATGTGGTCTTTTTCCAAGGCCAAGCATTTCAGTGTTTCAATGTCGATGTTCGGCATGTCACCTGGCTGACATCTGCTCGGTGTATTTGGTGTCGGATTGTAGATAGGTGACAACCTCAGGTTGAGTCTTCCACCAGGTCTGAGGCAACTGGACTGTCATTCCACCAGGTCTGCAGTTCTACACGTGACTCGTCTGCCTGTCGAGTCCTACACACTCGACAGGCCGGAAAAGATCGAGGCCAGCACCCAGGCTTGCGAGCAGACATCGCAGTGGTCAAACCTGAGGCGTTGGGGAAGATCCGAAAAGCGGAGACTCCCCAGACTCAATGGACGAGCGCGAGGGAGCGAGCGAGCGAGCGCGCCCAAAAGCGACGAACTGTCCGACGGTCTTCCCAACTCCCCGCCTTTGATCCAGCGGGGTCCCCCCAGATTCCAGTCTTCACGACCCCTCTGATCTGATGTCTTCACGGCCTGACCCCCTGAAACTCCGCTTAGGACGGCGCTGGGACCGGGCGGAGCCACCTGTGACGGTCCGGTGGAGCGCACGGTCGCCACAGACTGAAAAGGGGGGGGGGGCCTGGCTGGTGAGACTCTTTGAATAAGAAAGCTCCGCCCGGACTGAAGAGGTTTCACCATCCAGATTCTACATGAATTGCACGTCAACTCGCGTGACCTGCCTCTTTGTTTAGCAAAACCAACACCTTGTGGCGAAGTTGGAATCATGTCAAGTCAAGTGACATTGATTTGGAAACTGCATCAAAGGTCGAACAGACATAACACTTTAGCTGTGCGAAAGGTTCTGTTCCCGCTTCTGTTTCCCTCCAAGAAGACATGACACCTGACACCTGATCGCGTGTCATCCTCGCAACCGCGGGTTCCCCCGAAACGGCCAGGACCTAGAGAAGATTCGACGACCGGTGAGGACCCAAACAGGTTTGTCTCCCCCTCCTTTTGCTTCCCGCACAACTTGGGTATCGACCAAAACAGTGCTGCCGGTCCTCTCCTCCAGCTCCCATCTGGCTTTGGGTCAACCCGGGGAGACCGGAGAGACCAACGAAAGTGAACAGGTCATCGACGCCGTCGGTCCCGACGGTCTCCGGGTGAGTTCTGGTCTCCGGGTGCCGCTGAGCGAAAACGGTGCCTGTCCACGTGGTGTTGACCACATGCTGACGCTGTCAGGCATGGACCTGGAAGAACGAAAGGGTGAAATCACCAGGTAGGGCCGTCAGGGGGGCCCGGGACTGGTGACTGCAGACCTTGCAAACCTTGAAGGGCACGTGTCATCCTGAAGATCGATCCAAATCCCTTTGAACCTCTTGCGGTGTGAAGAGGTTGGTAGTTATCAACCCAGCCGTCCATGAGCAGCCATTCTTTCATCGAAAGAGGAGATGTCCTCTCGCATCAACTCGCATCAACTCAGAGGAGTTTCCTCCTCGTCCAAAAAGAAACACAAGAGACTGAGATGGCGAGTCTGAGTCTCCCAAACGGTGGGAGTCTGCTTGCATTCACCCAACTGGAGACCTGAACTGCAAACATGCAAGACCTGTTCGGGGATGGTGTGGGGGAAGACCAATCGTGGAAGAAACCGTAATCAAAACGATCTTGAACACCATATCATATCATTATCATATCTATCTAATCACACCTTTTGCTTTGGGAGAATCGGTTGATCAAACAAAAAGAAAGAGAACATGCCTTCGTTTTCGGTGTGTTCTTCCGTTCGGTTCTTTTTTCCCAAAAAATGAGAGGGGCTCATGGCTCATCCATCTATCTTCCTTTGGGCTCTGGCGAGGATCTCCTCAAGACTTGGTCTCTTCCTTGGAGCCACGAGGCGAAGGACGCGCGAAACAGGGAATGCCAACCACCAACTGGATGAAGCGCCTCTACCGCCACGAATCTACACTCCATCCACATGAAACATGGAAGAGAATCCACCTTCTAGGTCTTTTCGGAAAAATCCACTTTCAAGGCCCATGCCGCATGGGGCCCATGCCAGTCTTTTGGGGCACAGAGGTCTATGCTCCACATTGAACAAAGGCCGGTCTGCAGGCAAACCGTGCTCTCAAGTACTACGGTCCCAAGCAAGGGATCCGTCTGCAGGATGCGGCTAATGAGCTCCTGAGAGCTGCGACGATGTGGGCCATCCCAATCCAATCTGCAGCACAACCTACGGCATATGATGTGGGATTAATCCCAGCATCATGCATACGGCACCTGCACTACGAACACAGACAACACTTCCTACAGAATCCAAGAAGTCTTTTCTGTATTTCTGGGCTTGGTAGTGGCTTTTCTGTGGGCCCCTCTCCATCTCTGAAGGTGCTTGCACCTTCAGAAAGCCCCTCACCTCGACCTGATTCGTCAGACCACCAGAGCCCCACCCGTCCAGTCGGGCCAAACCTGGTCCAAACCTGGTCCGGCTGACCAGGGGTTTGCATGGTCCTCTTCCTGTACCCCTCAGCTCTGGTTTTGCATGGGTTTGGAGCATTTTCCCGGATCCAGTCAAATGAGGTCCGTAAGCCCTGTGGGGGAGCCTTGGAAAATCCGATCCCCCTGGTGCGAGGGCGCGGGTCCCCGGGTCCTTCACCTGGCAGGAAACACGTACTGAGTCAGGGAAGCTGTACTGGTTCATCCGGATCCTCTTGTACCTCACTCCCCACCCGAGGACGGTGTGGAAATCCGATCGCGTCTTCTTTCAGCGGTCCGGCCAGACCGGGCGGGTCACGTGGTCTTCACGTCTGCAGTTTCAAAGGGTGGACGACCAAAAACCATGGTGTAGATGATGACCCCCAAGGACCAAACGTCCACCTGGCACGTGGAGAAGAAGCTTCGGCTCGGCTCCGAAGCGTTTCCACGCACCGCACAGGCGCTCAGGTTTGGTGCGTTTGGGGTGAACGAAAACGATGTCCGACCCTCCGAGAGTGCACCGAAGGAAACCGCAGCTTTCCTGTGTGCGGAGTGAGCCTCGAAGGAGTGGCCATGTTTGCCTTCCAGGATTTCGGGCGCGATGTAGTTTGGAGTGCCTCAGATGGTGGCGATGTAACTGGCAGTCCACCTCTGCCCAAACCAACAAAAGCTACCAATTTAGCCCTTCAAAGAAGCCTTCCAACCTCCTTCCAGCCGCTTACTTCTCCATGTCCCTGCTCCCCCACGTGGGCTCGTTGTTCCCAATCCAAGCCCACTTACTGCTCCGCTCACCGCTCCGCGCACCGCGTCCGGTCCCGGTTCCCTTCGCACGCCGCCCCCCGCGTTCTGCGTGCGCCGCGGCGCCGCAGACGGTCCGCCGCTTTTCGCCGGCGAAGTCCAGCTGCGCCGCCAGGCCGAAGTCGCCCACCTAGAACACCAGCTTTTTGAATAAGAGCTGTTTGTGAGATCAATGACCAGTTTGTGATCTTCATGATATCCATCGCAGTTTGTGATCCAGAACAACCATGTGTCGCTTCGCAAGCAACCATTCACATGGATCGATTAACGACAAAAATAACAGCAATGATAATGATGATAACAGTTAACAAGAAGTAGCGCCCCCTTCGTTCAATCCAAGCCATTGCCTGAAGCACCCTAACTTGGCCCCCCACCTTGAGCCTCATGTTCTTGTCAAGAAACAAGTTGCCAAGCCTTAAGGCCAGTGGAACTCAAGCCACAAAAAAGCCAACAAACAAGACGACACTCCCCCTTCAACATGGAACCAGACACGCCCTTTTTTAAAAAGACTGGTCTTTTATAGAAGGTAATTTTACCTTTCCACGTAGTGAGTCAGACGCGGACTTAGTGTCATGATTTCGACCAAATGTTAAGTCAGGGGGATTGAGATTCTATCTACACATTTGGGGACATTAAACATGGATATGGGTGTCACTCAAAAGCTTTGGAATGCCTCCTGCAACCAATACTGATACTGCATACACAACGAAGAAAAGTCACTGTCTCATATGACCCTGGCCCCAACACAATGAGACACGCTTGGGAGATTGCACACAACTTTACGAGTGACACACGCTAGCTTCACCCCATGCCAATTCGCCGCCACTTGAGCCCCACGGCTTCAAATCTCTGTGGATCACGTGCCGCCGATGCAGGTACTGCAAGGCCGAAATGAGCTCATACACGTAGAAGATGGCCTTGCATCGATGCCCGACGTGTTCGATGCGTGCTGCCCACGACGTGTTCGATGGCCCCCAGCTGGTGACCCAGGCCAGTGTGCCGAACAACTCGGTTCCAAGTGAAGCCATCTAATCACTAGGTTCTGGTCCCACAGAACACCAAACACCTGGAACCTTGGCAGTTATTAGATGGCAAACGGTTCCACTGGTTCAATACAAAACAGCAAACTGGAACCCAGGTGCTGGTCCCACAGAACAGTCCAACCTCATATCCGTTTGCTTCCTTTCAGATCCAGCACCTGGCACCCCCGGCCTCCGGTTCCATGAGCCGTTTGGGAGGGCGGCGACGCATGAACTCGTTGAGGGTCCGGTTCGGACCTCAGGACTGAGTCCGAGTGTTTGGCAGGACAAAGACTGGGATGGATGGAGAAGCCTGAAGCCAGCCTGGCCTGACGGTGCTGAAAAACCAGCCGATCTGGATGTGAAGCAACTGTTTGATGGACGATATCACGATCACCTGCCCCAGCTAGTATGGTACTCTGAGAACCCCGCACATTCGGTTCTCTTTCTTCAACGAAACTCGTTCACTCCAAGACAGGCCCATTGCATCCAAGGCGGTCAAGACGAGCAAAGACCCACAGTGCTTGGACTAAGATGTCGACAAACCTCTAACATGATGTAGACATGCTCAGCGTCCTTGCGCCAAGCATGCACGAGTCTCAAACCGCCAGACTAGTCATCTCAACATCTGCACCTCTTGTTGTTCATACTGACACTGGAAGACTTGTCCCTGTGACATAGAAAGGCACCCTTTAAAACGTTAAAAGAGGAAAGCATGATAGCCATGTCAATTTTCCGGAACCTATTTCATAATGGAGCATATGTAATGGGTTAAAAAGTTTTCATCATCAGGCTCAACAGCGCGTCGCCAGAAAAGCTCAACGATCTTCGTCCTCGAAATGCTCGTAGAATTTCACCACCTGGTACCACCAAGCCCACCAAACCCGAACTCGTTCAGCGGCTCGATTTTAGGACCAAAGGCTTCCAAGTTCGAGCTCTTAACAGGAAGAGAACAGCATAGAACAGCCGTTTCCAAGCCGTTTCCTCAGCTCTCAGATCCTTGCTTTTTCGTGATGCAGCTCTTTGTGAATCGCAATTTCTGACCTGCCCGGGGACAGGCTCGGAAGGCGGAGCTCCCTTTTGGGGAACCACACTGTAAAAGCTTTCTTGCCTGAGCTTCGCATGTGCACGTGGCTTTGTCACTGAAGCCTTGGAGACAATCTTGGCCTTGGCAAGCAAGAGTTGGAGTCATCCACTTCCTAGTCCACCAGGAAGTGAATTTAGAAGTCCTAAGGCACCCGCCGCAAAAGTCTCTTTGGTCTCCAAGTCTTGTACTTCATAGCATTTGGCAAAGCCACCCTCAATCGCGGACTAGACTCTAGACGATTCGACGACCTACTTTGAAGGAAGGACTCCCAGACAGGACGCCCAACCTGCTGCTAAAGCCGCAGAGAAAGGAGACTTGCATCGTAGTTTCATGTAAACTCAAGACTTGTTGAGGCGTGTCGATCATATCTAGAAATTAGAAAAATAATGTGCAAAAAGCTCAGGACGATCTGAAGCTTCAAAGTTTGCTAAGTCTCGCAGGTGTCCTGAACAGTCCTTTTTGACACCTTTCCACTGGTTCCCAAGCACATAAAAGCATGCTCCAATGATGTGACGACATCATTCCAAGCAACACACAGACATACAAGTTGACCACCAGCGTCTTAAACAAGCAGTACTGCAGCCTTTAACCAGGCAAAAATCTTGCTGATCAAGAGCGTTATGTCGAAAACCACATCTTTCATGACCCTCACTTCAACATTGAATGATACCATGATCTCTCAACAAAGGATCCCCCAAACAACCCGATGCTCTCTTCGCTGTACAGGAGTTCCCCACGAGATAGAAACGACTTTGAACACAAGTTTAAAGAGACTTTGCTTCAAATATATCCTATTCACCATAATGACAGAACGATTGGTTGCTTGGCACTTGCTTTTCGCAGCCAAGAGCGTCATCTGGGGATGAAAATGGAGCTGGTCATCCAGTACAGTAGTTCATGTCTGACCCTTTCGCTCGTCCCACGTCCCACGGCGAGCTTCCGTCGCCAACACGGCTGACCGAAGCCAGATGGTCGACCAAACGGTCCGGCCCGGCCTTCCCCAAGAATCTGCCCTTTTGATATCTGGATGGTAAACCAGACCTGCCAGCGAAAAAGTACAAGCTCAATTTTGAGGAGGTGGAGTTCTACCTTGTGAGTGTCACATCTCAAAAATGGTGGTCGCTGCTTGAGACTTGGGTTCCGACTTGCTTTGAACCGAACGGTTCTCAATGATATCGATGTTTTGCAGATCACCATATGAACGGCTGACTCCAAACCTGTTGGGCACATTGGCTCTGCACTTGCGGTTTTGGGTCAAAGAACTGGGTTCAATATATTCAATGGAGTGGCACGTTGGATTTTCGTGTGCAAGAACTAAGGTCACCGCACTCTTGGCTTCATGACCAGCTTGACGCTTTGGGCTGCATGTGCTGAAAACACTTTCTTAATTTGCTGTCATGACAATGCTGTAAGACTCTGCAGTGGAATTGGTTGCTGTTCATGCATTATTTGTTGTTCAGATGGATTAAAATTTTAAAATTTCCAATTTGGTTGGCCTCAACATTTGATCTCGCTTATTTTGTTTTGCAAAAGCACTGACTAAGTAGACATGTACATCTCCATGCTATATTTTGTGAGAAATGCTGAGCCAAGGCAACCTTCAGAGGGTTCCTGCTTGGAAAGCAAAACAATATCCATCTTCAGCATGCATTAACTGTGTTTTGAAAATTGAAACAGAATGCGGCATCAACATGAATCAACATGCATCGCGTGTTGATGAATGTTGCCGACTATTCGGAATGACTAAATAGTGATAATAATGTGTCAAAATGATATCCAGCCCTGGTCTGTCTTCCGGTCTGATGTTCTGCGATTCTTAATCTCGGAGCTAAGGTTTCACTGACTTCTTTGACGATCCATATGGAGCTGGCTGCGCCGACTCCTTGTTGGAGACATGTTTCAAGAGTGGCATGGAACTTCATGGGATTTGACAAAACGAACATCACTCATCACACCAGCCGTGCCAAGAACCTTCTTGCACACCCCAACCGTCTGGATTCTTGGCTCTGAACCCAGCTTTCAATGTTCCCAGCACCATGGTGCTTTGCAACGATGCAAAACCAGCTTTGATCATTGCCTTCTTGCAACTGAACGACATTGAAACCCTCCCATGTTCATTTGTAAAAACAATTGCCACCGTAGACCCCAAACAGCTTGTACTTTTCACAATCGGAACACTCTGCAACTGGAGCTTGCGACGTCCAGAGCTGGGAGACAAAGGATTGGAAGGCAGAGGCAATCAGAGCTGGGAGACAACTGCAAATTCTTGCAAGGCAGAGGCGGACACAGCAGCCCAGCGCTGGAAAAAGGCAGAGGCGGACACAGCAGCCCAGAGCTGGGAGCCAAAGTGAAGGGTTGCAAGCGACATCCAGCCAAGAGCGGGAGACACATGTACAGGATTGCAGGGAAGACAAAAGAAGACAGAAGGGAGACAAGGCGGACACAATGACCAACAAGAATCCTTTCCATGTGCTTTCAGCTCTGTATGTGTGCATCACACAAGCAACTCTTGCAAAAAGTTTTTAAACACTCGAAAACGCTGAAGAACTCTTTCAAAACTCCAGAGACAAACTACAGTGTTAAAGTCCGGTTCTCTCCCTTTCTGAACACGAACCAAACAACACAAAACAACAAAACCAAACAAAAACAACAAGCAGGAGCAAGGTGGCCATCCAACATACGAATTTATTCAGATTGTTTCTGGAATTGCCACCTGGTTGTTTCAGCCCAAGTCCTTTCTGCACATTTGCTTGGGTTGGCACCCCGAAAGAAAACATGCAAGTCATTAAGCGGAAGCTCAAGCTTATCCGGTTGGGTTCGCTGTGCAAAGGACATGATGACGGTCTGCCTCTCTTCTTGACGGTCTGTCTGGCTACCGCTTGTCGAATGTCCTCTTTTATGGCAATGCCAAGTGTGCATCCAGCTGCATGCAGCTCTCCTTCTTTGACATCATACCATACTGGCACCTCGAGGCGAAAACCGCATTTGTAGGAGGATGCAAAAGAGATCATCTGACCACAGTTGCATCAAGAATGCCTTGCTCGCAGGCTCGAGCCAGGTTTGGTGTTTGTGGGACTGCTGGGCAGTTGTTGAATTCATACTGCCCCTCATATGCTCGCACAATGATGTAGGAATTGTTGGCCTTGTTTTGTCCACTGTTGTGCTTGTATCTTTGCCCTTCCTGTGGGGTAACGTCTTGGAGTCGCAACAACTCCGTGAGTTTATGAACCACTTGGACGGAGAAGTGGACATGTACGTGGCTGATGTTTTTTTTGCACGGGTCGAGGCGCTGTGTGTGCAGAGGATGCACAAGTCACCTTAGGCTAGTAAAAGAGAGAGATACGAACCAAGCGGCAAAACGAAACCAGAACAACAAAACCCAAACCAACAAACCCAGAACACCCAAAAGGAGCAAGGTTCGCACCTCAAGTTGGCTGCGTAAGCCAGTAGAAAAAGTGAAACCAGGTGAAACAAAGGGGCAATGAATTCAGCCTTTGCACTTTTTTTGCACGAGTCGAGGCGCTATGTGTGCAGGTTATGCACAAGTCACCTTAAGCTAGTAAATGAATTCAGCCTTTGCACTCAGTACTTCACCATCCGATCATGAGCCTTTTCTTTTCAAAGATGCTGTGGGATTTGAGCACCGCTTTCGAAATCTGTTGGGCCCTTCCTGCGAAAAAATGTGCAATGAGTTTTCAAGCTTGGCAGCCGAAGTTCCGTACTTCAAATGAGGCTTCATCGCTCAGAACGCAGTGTTGCAGGGCATGGATGAGCAGTACAAATTCCGACAACCAAGACAGGTCGGAGCACCATTCTCAACCTTACGATTGTCTATAATCACGAGGAAATGGCCTTGGAAACAGCCGGAGCAGGCAACGAGAGGACATGTACGTCCATGATGGGCAGATCCGGCTTCCCGAGACACAGGTTGCGCCCAAAGGACAGAAGAACAGTTTGCATGAGTGCAAGAGCAGCACCGGAGTCCCTTCTGCAGTCGCAACGAAAGCTTTAGCCTCACACGTCTTTGCGCAGAAAGACAACAAACCGTATCCCAACAGCGCGCCCAGTTCTGAGCAGGTGGGAGGCACAGAACATCGAAGCCCCTGTCCCAGTTAGTGGCGCAGAGGATGAGCTCGAAGGCTCCCACGGAGCGATCAAATGCTGCCACCAAAGTTGTCTCCCTCACCTCTGCCAGCGAGCAAGAGCTGGAGGGAAGAAGAAGAAGCGGAAGGACGCGGGAAGACGAAACGGTGGAAGCATGCAAGTGGAACCTGCCCCTAAATCGCCAAACAGCCATTCTAGTCAGGCTAGTCAGGGCGAACAACTGAAGTTGCCGCGGCGAAGGGTGCCAAAATCTCCATTCAAACCAAGTGCGGTCAAATCTAAAGCAGTTTGACTCAGAAGGGTGCAACGCAGCGGCATCCCGGAACTGAGCACCTCCCCGTCTGCAAGCATGCGGACACACAGGGCGGCAAACCTGGCAGCCGATGGAGTGCGGTAGCAGCCAACTCTGACATGCCGGATCCGGATGCAAGTTGTGGCAGTTGCAACAACCCTGCTTTTTTGCACGGGTCGAGGTGCTATGTGTGGAGAAGAGTGAAACCAGGTGAAACGGAGGGGCGATCAGACGGCTGAAATCTGTCTCCAAGAGGAGTGCTCATGCCACAGAAAGCCGGTTCAGCACAAAGGGCCATCTGTCCTACCGATTTAGGACTAGCAGCAGCAGGTGGCCACGCACGCTGTCTTTAGCTATCAAGTAGCAGTCCAGGGGCAATCACCCAAGGTACGCAAGGTCCTGTGCAGCCATCAATACAGACAAACAGTGACCCACCTTGTGAGTGGCCGATGGCCAGGCTGTGTATCTCATACAAGCAAGTATGTCCTCAAGTGTGTTACACTCGGCCAATGTCGCCTACAGCAGAGCCACGGACCTCACTGTCTCAGCTTGCCCGGTCAACATGCATGGCATTCCTGGTGTCTCTCAGGTACTATCGGCCCTCCTGCATGGTGTGTGTACACTGCACACCAGCCACAGGGAATCAGCAGGAGCATGGGTCGACGGGTGTTTCTCTGCAGGCAGCAAAGGTGTTGTAGCTTCCGCTGCAGCTTTTCTTGCAGCCATGGAACCACATGACCTGTGGAATGGCCCGCTGCCTGTCTGTCTAGTCGAACATCACAAAGGCAGGTCGCGGAGACTCCGTCTTGTCCTTTCTATACTCGGGAGAGAAGCTGCTCATGGCCAAGGATCATCCGGTGCATGGCAGCGGCCTCCTTTTCAGCTATGCTGCTGATCGGTGTGCAGATCCTGACTGGCTGGTCGTACCCGATGGAAGTCAACCCCATGCTTGGCGCCTCCTGCACGCTGTTAGCCAAGGAGGGGGTACTAGGTTTAGTGTGGGCAGCTCTAGCCGTTATCTTCCAGGGCAAATTGACGATGTAGCCAATAAGGCTAAAGAATATCAATTCGAGCCCTTGCACAAGATTTACTTCTATGATGCATGGCGCTGTCAACCAGAGCTGAATCGGCCTGACTCTCTCCTCCATCTCCCCCCAGCCCAGGGCTGCTGCAGAAGGCGCCCTGTCACGGCTACTCGAACGAGTGCCACTGAGCCTGCCAGCAGCCAGGCAAGTGGCGTCCTAGCAGAGGTCAGCCTGACAGAGACTGACACGGAGGCGGGTGGTAATGGCACTTCCCCAAGCGCGGTTCCCTCACCAGGGAGCACGGATCATGCTGCAGCCTCTCCAATCTCTGTGGGTAGCTCGGAAGATGCAGACAACTGCTCCCCTGATGCGGACACCGAGCCTTCACTTGAGGAAACTCAGGTTGTCACCCTCACCTCCATGAGTGAAGATGAAACGAGGAGGAAGAAGCAGAGGAAGCAGAAAGCACAAACGATGATGAAGTAATAGACATTGATGCAAGTGAAGGGAGGGGCATGGATCAGGGGAAACCGCACAAGTTGACCACCACCCGTCCCTCCAGGCGACTTCTCACTCCCCCTGCCTTGACCAGAACATCGAAGCCCCTGGCAAACAAACCACAATGCTAAGGCAAACTGAAAAGACCGGGACGAAGCGGCCAGCACCCATACCGACTCAGGGAGATGGTAATGATGGTCTAGCCTTATGAGATTTTTCACCAGCCAGAGATTGGAAATCCAATGAATTAATTGTTTGCTGTTTTTTGTTGTTTTTTTGCTGTTTGCATTTGCTGTTTTTTGCTATCGTTATTTTGTTGCTATTTTTTTTGCATTTTGCATTTGCATTTTTTTGGTGTTTTTTGGGTATTGTGGATTTTGCTGCCTGACGCCTTTGCTGAGGAAAAGTGTTGTATTGTTATTGAGTTGTGGCTTTGGTGGGTGATTTCAACAGTACGTCCTTTGTGTTTGTTG